TTTTGTTAATATCACTAAAAACAACGTTCAAGTTTGTGTACAAACAAAAAGAAGAAATTAAAAAATAAATTGAAGAGAAACGCGGGGCGTTTTCCGAGTGTGACTGTACTGAGCTGTCGTACTTTTTTATTATTTTGGACAGAGTCAAGGTAAACACATCGATAAAAGCGTACATAATCAGCGACATATGAGCAAAATACCCTTCCAAAGCTTTGGTTTTCTTTGTAAAACCATAATTCTAATTGATATGTTGAATATAAGTATTATATTTTTATCAATTTTTAAAAGATGCATTAGACCTATGGGAGATATGCGTCTGCTATGAGGGCATTGAAACAAAATGAATATTGTTCTCTCTCTCTAATACTTTTAATAGTTGCGTGTCGAAATAAAGTAGATAGAAATGTTATCTTTTAAAAAGTTATTGAATTAACATAGAATATTAGCAGATAATCTTCCGTCGTTATGTTAGTTGTTATCATGACGTCATATTCCGTATTGCATATGGAGGGCACATTACGCTATAATGAATTTCGTTTAACAAAAATTTAGATAATTCGCAGAAAATTATTATACAGCGACTAAACAATGGCGAATTTTTAGAGATTAATAAAAGTACATAAATGAAACTTTCTATGCATTTATTTCTTCTTTTGAAATTTGTTTCGGGTCCTGTCGTTCATTGACTGGACTACAAATGACATTATTCATCTCTGTGAATGTGTTTGAGTTAATCTTTAGCAAACTAAGCAAAAAAACTAGTTGCGGTGAGCCTGCCGAGCATTTGAAGACATGATTATAATTGAATTTGTATTAAATGCGTTGTTTATGTATAAAATTCGTTGTATTTACATGTGTGTGATGGTTTATGTAATTGATATAGCATGCTGAGATTCACGCCGATGGAATGCCAAATTTCCAACCTATGATTAGCGGGCTAGGGTCACGTGGTCAGCTGAGCGGATCACTTGTATTTTTATTCCCGCACTGTCCACAGTAATTTTGGAATCACGTATATTTTGAAGACCCGCCACCGCACCTTCAATCCTACCTCTTGCATTTTGATAAACTGTATTAAGGGTTTTGATGTGTCACCCCTTTTGTTTTGATGTGCCATCTTTTTGCTATATTTTTCTTAAAATGATTGATCTTATTGTTTTATAGGAATTTTTTCTAGTCATTTTTCGGGGGATCAGACATTTTTCATATTTTACGTAATTCAATCGGTACTTGTGAGTCTGATCCCCATTCTTTTGTATAAAGTATTTTCTTTATATTGTCATTTAAATAAATGGCATGTTTCATCTCTGTGAATGTGTTTGAGTTAAACTTGAGCAAACTAAGCAAAAACTAGCTGCGGTGAGCCTGCCGAGCATTTGAAGACATAAAACAAAATACATGAATTGCATTAGAATGGGAGTAACTGATCTTCTAATTTGGTATTTGCGACCATTAATGCTGATTTAACTGTCGCAAAATTAGAAGATAGTTATTCCCTAAAAAGTTTCCTTTTCAACGCTTTCTTTTTTTGGCCAAAAATATTGATGTTTTTTTTAATTACCTTTTTCTCATTTACATCTTAGTTCGTTTTGAAAACCATTAACTTTAATAAGGAGTATTACACCAATAAATAAAAAAATGTCCTTTTTAATAATTTTAACCAAAGTAAAAAAGTAAACTTTGGTTTCAGTATTTCTTCAAATCATCAGTTTCCTGATGCATTGCTACTGTATTCTTAATTTTCTTGCACGTCATCATTAACTTGCGTTCTATCCGTACTTTCAACGGAATCCTTTATCAACTCTGTGTAGGGATTGACATTCCTATTACTTTCATCATTTGAAGACTGCATTACTTTAAGATAGTTACTCTCCGGATTTATAGGATCCAAGTAAGAAGCTTCACTCATTCGCTCTTTGTCAATTGGAGTTTCGTTCTTTTCCCTTGTAGTCGTACTTTCAACGGAATCATTTATCAACTCATAACTTTCTTCATTTGAGGAATGCATTACTTCTAGATAAGTATCATCTAGGTTTGTAGAATCCAAGTAAGAAGCTACATTCATTCGCTCCTTGTCAGTTGTGGTTTCGTTTTCTTCCCTTGGTTCAGGCAAATGTTCATAATTGTCGTCTTGTTCTTCAACAAAATCATAATTGGGATCATTGTACGGATCATTCAAGAAGGTCAGTTTGGTTTCATATGGACTAGGTTCTGTTCTCGGAATAGCAGGAAGGCGCAGGAGTTCACTGCGTCTTTTTTTCAAGAGCATTTTTCTGTAACAAGATATCATTAAAAATTGCTATAAAATCAAGACGTCACTAATTATAAAAGATCACGTTATGTAATAACCTTAACTGTTTCAAGACATCATTTATTTTAAGTAATAGTAAACCAAACATAAGAAGCAAAGAATGTAAAGTTGACGAAGTATTTCTATGCTTGTCTACACTTAACAAAACTTGTAAGAGTTCACTTTAATAAATGCATTTATTTAAAAACTACTTAATTTAAAAACTAAATTATTACACGTAAGTCTTCTCAACAATTATAGAAAGAAAATCAAATAACACCGATGAAAACCAATGTTCCGTGACGAAGCTTAAAAACAATAAATCTGTATTTAGCGGCACGTGCTTTGTGTAATTAGCATCATTTTGTGATCACTATCAAAATTTTTAAAACTAGTTTTATTAAAAAAACAAAATTGGCAAAATGACCATTGAAATAGAAGGGAGAGCCGTTGGAATGATAAAAATTTGGCCCATCCTTGCATCACGTTTTACTTACTTTTATTTTAGTGTTAAACTGTCCTTGATATTACGTTTAAAAATTAACAACCGGTATCAAGACCCATTTAAATACATTTTTTCTATAGGCTGTGCGTCATTTTCATCGCCAAATTTATTACAACTTGAAAGCTTTGGACAAAATTTAACCAAACCGGAAGTGACTTTGATCTTCGTCTGGGGCCTAAATTTTGCATCACGCCAGGTTTAAAAAGTGTTCAATTGTCCTGAAACAATCTTAGAAACATGAAAACAAACAGTTTCAATTGTATGAAAATTAAAAGAAATCGATGCTCGTGATAGTCTAATATCAGCTCAAGCAGTCTAAATCATCCTTAAAGGGATGCACTTACATGCTCAACGCCCGGGGATATTGACCAAAAGGTCTCTGTGTGAAGATGCACTGTCAAATTCTCGGATCTGTATCTCCATGAACACAATTGGGATTTTATAAGGAATGCCAACCCCCTCCTGTCCACACCATTTCAACGTTTTGGAAAGATCTATGCAATGGGTGTAGCAGCAGATGTGTCAATCTACTATTCAGGAGTACATGGTATCAAACAGTAAATGATGTCTTGCAATAATTACATGTAGGGCGAGTGATGGTCTTACTCTATAGATATTATTTCGTGTGAATTTTCATTTACGCAACATCGAACTCAAATATGCATCATTAACCATGAATAAAAAAAATTATTTATTATTTGTTCTTAAATACCTAAAAAAAACTTAATGTGAACACTTGGAAGTTTGATTCAGTGTATAGTCCCCTTTGGGTGTTTGCACTGAATACTCTGGGCGTCTTTGAAACGTCAGCGTCAGCTCAAACAGACCACCAATAAAATCTAAGTAAATAAGGAAGGCGGAACCTAGGTCCGGCGTATCGCGATGGTGCCTGCTCGTTACTCTACAACGTATTCTTTTCACTTTCTTACTTAAGTTTTATTTTCCTGTTTGCTCTTTATTTCAAAGCCATCAAGGTAGCCTCATTATGTAACTGCTTAAAAGGCTGTTGTGTGTCATATATTTGATTACCAGTATTTATATTTGTCATATCTTATTTGTTAATCATTTTCTATCAATTACTACCTGGATTTTATTAAAATCAGTTTCTACTAAAATAACTCTTACATACATATAAACAAAACGATAGTTAAGTGGGGAATAGAAGACTGTGTTTGGTCTTGTTAAAAATGCATTAATTTCACTCTTATTGTTTTTTTATTCTTAATTTGTGATAGGATCACAAAATAGCACATATTTGTACAGACGTGAATCAAATACATAGTGTATGGGAGATGGTATCCATCGAAGGATGACCAAAATCAATACTTAATCATTACTAAGAGTAGATTTAAAGATTTAAATATTAGTTCCTAATTTACAGCTATTATATTATGTAAGTTTTGACTACTTATTAGAATTGTTTTTGAAGAATATTTTCTATAATCATAATTTAAAAACGAACCCCAAAATCTTCAGAGAAAAAAAATTGTGTTTATGAATCGAAGAGCCTGGTACT